GATGGAGAATGGACAAATGATTAGACTAACAGGTCTTTAAGGCCATTTCCAAATCTATGGTGATGCAAAAATAGTCAGAAAACCATGCGAAGTTGTAAACAAATAAAGCCATTGAACTCTTAATAATTAAGTTTGTCAGCCCATTGCTGGATGAATGTCCCTGGAGCATCAGTAGGGAGTGGATACATAACTAGGAGCAAGGAGCAAGCATGTGTTACAGGGGCCATGTATTCTTTTCACTCAAACTTCGGAACCAACATAGATTATTTGGGCATGAGAAACTCCCTCTACTCCAGACCACAGGTTCTGTTCCTGTCCAAAAGCTGCACAGAAGATTCATTGCTCAGAACAGTGAGTTTGTATTGAGAATAGAGAGAGTGGAAGACAAACAGTAGTTTGTGTGATGATAAGAAGCAAATAACTGGAATCAAACAAAGCCTTGAGGTTGTGTGAACAAGGTAACTACAAGCTCTGGGGGTAGGTTTGCTCAAGAGTGACTTAGGTTTTCAGAGATAAGGGAAGAATGTCTGTGAAGTCCAGGGCAAGACTTACTCACAGCATCAAGTCCTCTCTTCCTGAGCACTTCAAGTCTACCATATACTAGGTGATCATTAGCATCTGGGATTTCACTTGCCTCACTTGGAAATACTTCCCCAAAGTGAATGTGCTTTGTTTATCTCTGTAATTTAGAATTATTATTTTATTATAGTAAATAGATCACATAAAATGAAGACATTATATTAATTTTTCAGATCAACTGTAACAATCAAAAATGTCTCCTAAGGATTTAATAATCCTACTGAATTAAAAAATGAGCTATGCTGGAAACTGCTATGCCTTTCAGACCCACCTTCTGTAACTATACCAATAGTCAAGAGAAAAATAGCATGCAGTTAATATTAGACATTTTGACAGATTTTTTATTTAAATAAAAACATCTGTTCATTGTAAGAAATTTGGACAGTAGGAAAAGCAGAAGGAGAAACTGAAACAGCCTATAATCATATCACCCAGCAAAATTTGCCATCAAAGTGCACATCTCCATACAATCTTTCCTTCAATATACACTTCTACAAAATGAGATAGGTTAATAATTTCGTACGCTGTGAGCTTTTACCTTTACCTTTGAAATACAATCGAACCAACACAGCATTCAATCTGCACGGCTGTATTAAAGGTGAAGCAGTGATGGGACAATACGTCGTTAGTAATTAGAAACTTGGAGCACATTTATGACAAACACATGTCCCCTAGTTTTCCAACCAGTCCCTAGACAATCGAGACTTGTTCCAAACTGTCTCTATACTGGAGAGTTCCTTTGCAGGAGTCACTATCAGTTCTGTTCTCTCGGGTTAGTTAATCCTGAATGTGAAAAAAGGAGCATTATGTCAAGCAGGAAGGCTTACGTGGCAGCCTGTGCATGCAGTTATGGTCCAATGAGTAGCAGGAGGTCAGCTCTTTTCAGTCCAACAGATAAAGACTCTCAATTCCTTCTAATTCTCCAGGCCTCAGTACCAACATCCAACCCAATTTCATAACACCCAAGTTTTCATCTCCTTATAGAGAAAACCAGAGTAAGTTGGATACTTCAAATAAAAAGGAATGTAAAATAATTTACGATTAAAAATCAGAATTTTAAGGGCCTCTCTGGGGGCGCAGGGGTTAAAGACACAGCACTATCAAGCTATCACCAGCCACTGCAGCATGATTTCCATCCCCGGCTGGCCAGGGAGCTACTCACATGGCACAGCAGACCTCTTCTGTCTCGCCCGCTGCTCCCCTCAGCAGTGTATTTCAGTCAATCTGCTTGTTCTATTCCCCACTCTGTCTCTGGTGAATCCTCTCACCCTCCCACACACAGCTCTGGCCTGTACCCCAGCTCTTGTATGCATAAATAAATAAATCTTAAAAAAAAAAAAAAGAAAGACATGGAGGTGAGACACGTAGAGCAGAGCTACTTGGAAGAGATATGTGGGTGAGAGACATTGGCAGACATTGGTGAGAGACATTGCTATGGTGTATTGTGAGTCTTTCCTGTCCCAGCTCTCTGGGACCTGCTTAATGTCTTTTCTCATGGTTCCCTGCCAGAAGGTACTTTATTGTTTTTTAAAGATCTATTTATTCATGCATACAAGAACTGGGGTACAAGTCAGAGGTGTGGGGGTGGGGTGTGTGTGAGAGGATTCGGCAGAGACAGAGTGGTCTGTAACAGACCACTGAAATAGTCTGCACGCACAGACCTACTGAAATACACTGCTGAGGGGAACAGGTGAGACAGGAGTAGTCTGCTGCATCATGTGGGTCACCTCCCTGGCCGGGGATTGAACTCATGCTGTGATAGCTTCATAGTGCTGAGACCTAACCCCTTGTACCACCAGGGTGGCCCAGACGGTACTTTAAACTTATGGCAAGCTTTCAGGCCTCAGTAGCCCGGCTTCAGGTCAAGCTGTTTTGGAGGGGTAATATTCAGAGTTTTATTAGGAATATCCTCTGTTCTCTTCTTTCTCTATGTAAACTAATTCTATTAAAAATCTTTCACAAGAACAGTATGCTTCCTTTGCTTTTGTGCACGTGGCTAGCTTGGACCCCTTTTGAGAGTGTACACCCTTTAACAGTTTGGGGTCTCCGAGTACCCCTCAGTCATGTGCTAACAAACTTATTATAAATTTTGTCTCAAAACAGCTGACAGTGTGTTAAGGCTCTGATGCAACAATTTGCCTTGATATTGACTATTGACACTATCAACATTATTGACACATCAACCAGGGTGTAAGCCAGAGGTGCGTGGCGGAGGTGGGGTGGTTGGCACGAGAGAGACACTGAGAGCCAAACAATAGAGTGGTGAAGATGCGTTAAGTCAGAATTTAATAGTCTTCCTACCTGGTGAAGCGTTCTGGGTAGTTTCATCGTGTTCCTTGTGGCAAACATTTTGCTGCATAAGTAATTGACTGAAAAGCAGTTTTGCGTAACAGATGAAATGCTGGTGGAGGCATTTTTTTTTTTTTTTTTGAACTGGAGGATTTGCTTCCACCAGCTATCAGGAATATGCTGACATCACTCAGCTGTCAACTCCTTGACCAGAAGTATGTACATTTCTCGTGCACCTTTCACACTCCCTCCCAGGACTTTCATTGACTACCTCAGGCAGGCAAAAGTCCTGGCTCCCTGGTCCCAATTCAATTCCAAAAGGGCTCCCCCAGCTTCAGAGCCTCTAGTAGGATCTCTGAGTTCTTCCTTCCTCTTCCCCACCCTATTTATTTCTCTCCCTCTTCTGTTGTCTATCCTGAGAGCCTCCCTACTATGTTTCTTACATACAAATTTCACTCTGGGAGTGTGCTTTCCTACAAAACCAGCCTGCTCCACTTACAGAATGTCCTGACCTGATGCTAATTAGAGGTTGAACACTTGACACATGAAGGAAGAAGTACCACAGGGGAATAAAAGTGATTCAATCAAAAGTTCTGCTGATCACGTCAAAGTGTTCATGTCTGTCATTAGGATGCCACAGCTTCCTTTCACAGGTGGCCTGGCACATACAGGAATGGTAAGTGTGGCAACTCCGTCTCTGCTCTGGACTGGACAACCTCTATATTCACACCCCTTTTCCTCAAAATCTCACCCATTAAAACTGAAAGTGTGGGGGGCCTCCGTGGTGGCACAAAGGGTTAAGATGCAACCTATGAAGCTGCCCGAAGCCACTGCAGCACGAGTTCAATCCCCAGCCAGGGAGCAACCCACATGGTGCAGCAGACCTCTCCTGACTCACCCGCTGCTCCCTTCAGCAGTGTATTTCAGTACATCTGCCTGTTCTGTTCCCCACTCTGTCTCTGGTAGATCCTCTCACCCCCCACATCTCTGGCTTGTATCCCAGTTCTTATATGCATAAATAAATAAATCTTTTTAAAAAACCTGAAAGTGGGGACTGGCAGGTGGAGAACGTGATGGTGAATCAAGGGTCACAAGCACCCTTCAATATTTAACCACATGCGTTCTTCCCACACATTTCCCCACACCAGAAGAAGTAACAGCTCTCCCACACACCACAATCTAGGGCACCCTGTGATCACATAACAGAACCCTCCTGTCACAGGTAAGTCGATGCCCCAAAGAGGGAGTTGTGGCAAAACCACTGTTCTCCCTCTGCTGGAGGGGCAGAAGTCCTGCATGGGAATCCTGTGCTCAGTAGCCTGGGAATGGGGCTGGCAGGGTGGGAAAAATGGAAAGCTCCATTCCCTCGGTCAGGATTGTCCTTCTTGTGCGGCATCCCCGATGAGATCGCGGCTGGAGAGGGGTGACTCACACGGAATAGAAGGCTTCTGACCAACGTTGGTGACTGACATGACAGGGAGTTAAGTTCTTTATTGTTCTTGTGCTTAAGCTGTGTCAGGGTAGAAAAGGTACTTCTAATTTTGACATACCACAGATGAGCCCCAGATATTTCAAGGTGTGACTAAAAATGTTCCAAATAAAAGTGCTTACTCTATGTCACCTTTAAAATATCTCCATAGGTCACATGAGAGTTTAGGAAAAAAGGAGCCATGTTTGAGCAGGGGATTGGACCCCCCCAAAAAAAATACACCAGTACCTACAACCCTTTCCTATTTCTTTCCCTATAATTCTGGATGTCCAAAAGATTAGGAGTGGCTGGCCTGCAGTTTCCAGCTTGGGGATAGCTCTCTTTCCCTAATACTAGCCGCAAAGCAACACTGTATCATACCCCATCTAAGTGACAAAGGTAAACTCAAAATGAAAGGTCTATTAAATGCTCTGTGACCTTCAGCCAAAGCTCTCCCCCATCCTGGGTTTTAGTGTTCTAACTTAAGCCAGGAAGCTGTGATCTCCAACACCCAGTCCCAAATTTATCTGACCAGGCACTTGCCAAGCCCCACCCCAAGCCACCTGGAGATTTTACTATTTGAGTCTAGTCCCTCCCACATCCTCCTTCCGTTGGATGCTTTGATTAAATAGCTTCCCAACCGATGCCTTGGCACAGGGAGCAACACCTCCTAACTCCTGCCTCAAACAGGTCTTCCCAGGATGAGAGCTGCCCCCCAAGGCTGGGTGAGGGCTGCAAGGTTTCACCTCAGCATCTTGCTTCTGCTTTTCCTCTGGCTCAACGGAACTGTGGTAGCTAAGGAGCTCAAGTTTGCGACCTTGGTGAGTAGCTTGTTTGTCTGCCCTTAAAACTGTTCTTAGCATGGCCTGAAAACCAACTGTGGTGGTTTCATTTCACTCTTGTGTTATCTCTCGGAGCCCAAACTCAGAAAGTGAATAATCAAGTTTTGCAAGTTCTTCTAATGAAGACTTAACATGTCCTGACAAAAAGATGGGGTGGTGGGGGCGTTTGCTTTGCCCATATTATTTGTTGACTTATTTTACAACTACTTTGAATGCAGATTCTTCCAGACAGAGGCCAGGAGAAGCCTCAGCTGTATGTTTAGCACCAGGAGCTAAATTGGCACCATCCTGTTTAATGATACCATTTTGCAAAACAAAAAACAGTCATTTTCTGTATTTAACTAGTCCTTCCCTCTGGTTTATCAGGAAATTGGGAAATATATTTGTATACAGTTTCTAAAGTATAAAGGTGAGACTATCCTAGGCTCTTAGTGAGCACACTGGGCTGACTTCTGATACATAGATTTCGCTAACCATTAAAATCATGTTTTTTCCCCACCTATGGTGTAAGTGGCAAGTTATGAAAAAAGGTGGAAGGGTGGTCAGTATCTGTCAGGGAAAAAAATCATACTGATGGCATTGTTTTAAAATCAGGTAGAGGATTTACAAAGTAAAGGGGGATTTACCACTTGACATATGTGTCCTGGAATTAATCCTGCTGTATCTCTTAACTTCTGTCTTTATCTTTTACTTTCTTTGAATCTCTTTCTTCTTTTACCTTCACTTAGTATCTCTCTTTGCCTCTGACCAGCTCCTTGTGTTTGGGTCTCCTCCAGTCTTCCTCACAATTTTTATTTGACATCGTGAAAATATGTTGATAAATAGATAAATTTTCTTCCTGTAAAAACACTCAGAATTTATTTTTATAGTTTGGAGGGAGCTCACCTTTTTCTTAAAAGTTAAACATGAAGTAACTATTTTCTCAGCATGGTGTATTCAGAACTCCTTTTTCCCTTCTATGGAAATATTTTATAACCATGTTTATGCAAAGCATTATTTTTAATCTAGTATATCTTTATTTTTTAATTTTTTAAAAAAGATTTATTTATTTTTACAAGAACTGGGGTACAGGTCAGAGGCATGGGAGGGTGAGAGAATTCACCAGAGGCAGAGCAGGGAGTAGAACAGGCAGACAGATGGAAGACATTGCTGAGGGGAGCAGCAGGCGAGGTAGGAGAGGTCTACTGCACCATGTAGGAATCTCCCTGGTCAGCCAGGAATCAAACCTGCGCTGCAGAGGCTGCGGACAGCTTCACAGCGCTGCGCTCAACCCGCTGCGCCACTGGGGAGGCCCAGTCTAGTAAATCCTTAGCAGATCAAGAGTCAATTATTTTACAAATGATTCACCAGCTGTCAGACTTCTGTGCTGAAGTAAACAAAACATATTATACTCTTGTCATTTTCTAGGCAACCTATTGAGTTAGACTTTGACTTATCTTCATGGGTTCTTTACCAACATGAACTTTAAGTAGTTGCAGGGACTCTGCAGAGATTGCTCTGCCCACACAGAAACCTGGGACTACCTGATTGAGTGGTGAGCCTCTCTGAGGATTAACTGAGAACTCTCAGTTAACCACACGTGGTTGGTTCTCTCCTTCGTGATTTACAAGGTCCAGGTTAACTTTTCTCAGCTACCAGACTATGGTGAGTTCCTTCCTTCCCCTCCACATGTATTCAGGAACTGTAAGAAATATGTCTCTGAAAAAAAACAAGTAATAAAGGAAGGTGTCTCTGACTGACACAGTACTATTAATGACACTATCCAGCAGTTCACTGAGCACGTCCTGTGTGCCAGGCACTGAGAGTTCAGCATGGATTATATCACATCATCCCCCCAACAATGTTATGAAGTAGGGTTTGCCAGAACAACACAGGATGCCCAGTTAAATTTGAATTTCAGATAAACAGTGATCACTGTTTAGTGTACATACATTCCAGGCAAATTTTGTTTGCTCAATTTAGCAACTGCTCTACATGATTTTGTAAGAACCTTATCCTTCCTCTTTTGCAGATGAAGAAAGAGGGCTCACTTGCCCATGGCCATATGGCTAAAATTTGAACCCAAGCTGTGTAACTCCAGAACCAGGCCCTTAAATGCTAGACATAATCTGTCCCTACTGTGTGCATACAGTCTAGCACATGGCCCTAAAGTCACCCCACAGGTGCTCAGCGTGTGCCTCAGTCAGTAGGTGGTTCCCTTGCTCTTTCTTAGTGATCCAAGAAAAAGAAATCGTCCCCATTTTTGAAAAGCTTTTCTTGGCAGAAAGAGCAGGAAAATATTGTTGGTTCTTGTTCTTGCTCAGGGACAGTCACCATTTGATCTTTTAGAACAGGTTTGCCAAGAGCCTCCTGTGGAATTCTCGTTTAAAAGTTCTTAGCAGCACTGCTCGGTTAAAAATAAAATTTCGATCGCCAAATAAGCTTTGGCAACAGAAGGTAGATTGAACTGTGTTTTTTCCCCCAAACTCTTATTTTTTTATCTTTTAAATATGTCTCCTGTTGTAAACTGTGTTCAATGGTCTCGTAGGTACAGAACTCCTAGATGTTTTTAATGTTCGCATATGTATTTAGTTTTCAAGGCGTTCAAAATTGTCTTTCTAAATATCAAAATTGTCTTTCCTAACCTTTGACTATAGAATCCAGATCCTCTTTTTCTCCCCAGTTTTGCACAGAAAACCCATAGAGAATTTTTTTAACTTTAGAGAGAGAGAATAATAAGTATGGTGGGTTCCATTGTCCCCACCGACCATCTTCTACAGTTACCCATTAAGGCCAATCTTGTTTTATCTAAATGATCACACACAACTACTGAACTACTAGGGATTACGACTGTAATCCCCTACATCATTATTCCATCCATAATTCAGTAAATGCCATTTTAAAGCATTTTCTCTCCCCTAACTTAGGGGTAAACACATGTTCATCTCAGGTTCATCTCAGGTCATCTCAGACAGAGAGGAAAATCCTTTCTTGTTACACCAGAGTTTTACACACAAATGGGGTGTTGGGTCTGGAAGTATAAGCTTTTCTCACTCTTCAAGACTAATCATGCAGTCAAAGATAGTCTGGATGGAAATCACCTCCAAATCTCAAGCACACCATGTCTACACTAGGATGGGTAAATTCCAGAGTGTGGAAGGCAAATTCATTCATTAAAACAAGCATTTCATGGTGGGTGGGAATTGTACAGGGATTGTAACTAAGATGAAAATGCATACATTGTGCAAAAATGAAAAATGATGTAAAAATACATTTAAAAAAACAAGCATTTTGTGTGTGTGTTGCTATAGGACAGGCACTGTTGGGGTATGGCGGCACCACGACAGCAAGGATTCTGCTTTCAGGGAGTTTATGGGGAAAGAAGACGCCATATACTTACACACACACACACACACACACACAAAACTCAGGGATAAAAATAAAACTATGCAGTGCGAGAAAGCCCCAGCAGGAGCTACTTTGTACTGGTCAAGGGAGGCCTCTGGCAGATGTGGCCTGTCAAGACAGGCCTGACTTTAGCCACTGAATAAATATGCACCAACAGAAGCAAGATATTCCAGGCAGGATACGAAGGCCTGGAGGCTGGATCAAAAATGTTTTGGATGGAACAACAGGAGGGCCCCTGTGGCTAACAAGCATGTTTAGCAAGAATATAAGATAAGAACATTGAGGTGGGCAGGCCAGAGCTGGTAGGGCCTTGCAGGCCATGGGAAGGACTAGGCATTTTATGCAGAAAGCAGTGGGAAGGCAGCAGTATCTAGAGTGACAAGGTCAACAAGCACCAACACTCCCCACACTCGAGTCGATCATGGTTGGAGCAAGAGGTGGCCTCCTGGGGCCTCATTATGAACTTCTCTGCTCTTGTGTAGCTGTCAGTTCTTCCACAGAGAAGAAGGTTTAATAGGGTGAGAGGACACTCCAGAGTTCTAAGCAATCAATAGAGCTATTTCCGCTGACGGTTTTGCAAAGAACACCTGACCACTGTGTGGAGAGGGGGACCGGACAGGCCCCCCCCCAACACCTGCTCACCAGAGCCACCACTGTGCATGCTCCACCTCTGGTCAGCTGACTCCCCGGAGAAGGACACTTCATGGGGATATGAACCCTGATTCCTTTTTTTAAAAGCTCCTTCTGATTAAGAGGGGGAAGAAAATGTGAAGAGGTAGGGGAGGGGGTGCTAACTATCATGAAAATGAGGCGATCGGGGCTCTTTACACATCATTGAGTGTGGCTGGACCTGTCCTCAGGGGGCTTGGGAGAAGCAACAGATGGCAGGAGACAGGCATCTGTAAAACAAGAGAGGGTTGCAGAGACATCAGGCCTGTCATCATCCTGGATGTCTTCCTACAGTGATCACCACCTAGGCTGGCAACTGACAATAGTCCTGCTGCTCATCCTGTCCTTTTAGTTTCTAAAGAATTTCATTGAACACGATCACCAAACCGAGAACAGAGGATATAAATCTGGCAGAGCAGCACTTAAGAAAATTGCCCTACCACAGACTTCAAAGAGCCTGGGCCAATGCTCCAGCCCAATTGGCCAAACTCCAGAAGTTTCAAAATGCCCTGTGTGCTAGAGGGCACTCATATATGTGCAAACACACACACACACACACACTCTGTTTTCCAGCACTTGGGGTAGGGGTGGTTTTATGCAATTTCTATGAATTCACAGAGTGCTGAGCCACTGCCTTGGAAACCCTTGAAACCTGCTGAAATGTAGGGGACTTCAATTGATTCGACGTTTAAGACAGAGTAAGAATGTAAGAAAGCTCACAGCCGTGGTAAGGTCCCAGTCCCTGCTCCTTAAAACACACGTCTGTAAATGCATCGCCTTTGTTTCTCCACAGGCCATCTGTTCCTCAGTTGCATACACTAAAATCTTTGGTTTTATTTTTTAAGTGATGTTTGGGATTGTTTCTTACATCAGGCTTTTGTTTCTTTGATGCAACACTTCCCCTCCCCCTACACACACACACACACACACACACACACACACACACACACACTGAACTTCTAGTCTTAGAGGAGAAGAGCACTTGGAATAGAGCTGACATAGACACTCCCCAAACCCCAGATTATCCATCTTCAGCGGACGGGATGCTAAGGAATGTGTTTTCATCTAGAGATGAGCCCCTCAGATGGGATTAAACCGCTGGCGCTGGAGACCCTGGCCTGTGTTTGGATCTTTGTTCTACCATGTATGTGCTGTGCGACCTTGAGCAGGTTGCTTTCCTAAGGTTAATTTACTCATTTGTGAAATGCAGATAATAACAGTACATACTCTGTAGAATTGATGAGAGGATTAAATATGAGAAGCACTTAGCACAACTTCTAGGATAAAGCAAGTGTTCCAAAAAAACTGAGTAGTGTTTGTGTTTATATAGGCTGGGAGGAAGCATTGTAAATTACTTTACTACAGGGGCCTCCCTGGTGGCGCAAGGGGTTAAGCACTGCACTGTGAAGCAATCTGCAGCCTCTGCAGCCCGAGTTCGATCCCTGGCCCACCAGGGAGCAACCCACATGGCAAGGCAGACCTCTCCTGTCTCTCCCGCTGTTCCCCTCAGCAGTGTATTTCAGCCAGTCTGTCTGTTCTGTTCCCCACTCTGTCTCTGGTGAATGCTCTCACTCCCCTTCTGACATCTCTTTGCCTAACCCAGTGGCTCTTGTATCTAGGGAACATTTGGAAGCATCTGGAGACCTTTTTGGGTCTCACGGTTGGATAATGATGTTGGTCTCTATTGGGCAAAGGCCAGGGCTGCCAGACACAGGGCAGCCTCTCACAGGAACTGTCCAGCCCAAGATGTTGACAGCGCTGTTGGGAGAGGCCAGCAAGAAAGCGTGACCACAGGTTGATTCTCAAACTGAACCCAGGCAATCGGAGGCGCCTTACACTCCCTGTCCCTCCTCTTTATTCTCCTCCCCACAGTGTACATTCTGCTTCCTTCCCCTGCCTCCAGGAGTGCTCCAAGGACATTGTTGCGGTGGTAATATAGCATTGAGACCAATTGGATAGTATGTGACTGAGCACAATTGAGACCTCTATATAAACTTTGAAGATTTGGCAGGGCCTGGTGTAGAAACTGAGTTCTTTTGCTCATTAAAATGGCCACCCATCCATCTGGAGTGTACTGCCTCTTTCTTGAGTGTCTCTCCACCCTCCTTATAAGGGAGCTGGTTTCAGATTCTACCTGGGAAGCTCTGGAGGTTGGGATCCAACAAGTACTGGGGTTGAGAAACCCTGGAAAATAAACAAGGTAGATTTATGATCTATTGAAACCATATAACAACTTTAGTTACTGAAGCAGCAGGAGGGGCACAGTGCAGGTGCTCTATGACCCAAGCAGATGGGTGAAGGAGGGTCCTGGAGTCCTCGGTGGCTTTTGCAGGCTTTTATTGGGTTTTATCAGGTATGCAGCAGGCAGGGGTGCCAGGGGGCCCAGGAGGCTGGCAGGCCACCCAGCCCCCGGCCAGTCTTCACTCTTTCTGGGCTCTCCAGCCTTCTCTCGTGGCCTCTACTTCTCTCTCTTGGTCTCTGCTGGTGGTCTGATCCGCTTTCTGGCATCCCGTGATGCCGCCCTATGAGCGCAGTCTCAGCCCAGGTGTACCCACCTATGCAAGCCCACACCCCACTCCAGGTGTCCGCCATCAGGCATCATTTAATCTAATGGCAGGAGGGCAGAAAAGCCTGATGCTATACTTACCCTACAGTTACTCAGATCTGGGAAAGTAGTTTGCACAATTGCCTGGAGTCTGAAAAAATCTGATGTGTTTCAGTTACAAAAAGAGAAAGCTGAGAACCAGTGGTTTAGAGGAAAATCTATTATGATGAGCAGAGGCAAAACATCTAGTGAAGTTTTAATATACAGCCGCGATCTGTCTGCAGGTGTTCAGACATGGAGACCGAAGTCCCATCCAGACCTTTCCAAACGACCCCATTAAGGAATCCTCGTGGCCGCAAGGATTTGGCCAGCTCACGCAGGTAACGATTGATGATGAATCTCAGGGGAACGGAGCACTGTGGGGCTTGTAATTCCTTGAAACCACGTAACTACTTTCGTTACTGACATCTGACAAAGCGTTCTGAACATCTACTGGAATCTTAAGTTTAAAATGCCTTTTGATTATGAAACGAGAGGTACCCAGGGTTACTTTTGATCAGTTCTGATCTGGACCAAGTCACCTCTCCGACTGGGAAGTGTAGGAAAAACTGGATAGAGTTGCCTGTTTTGCTCTTTTTTTTACCCTGTTGACTTTACTAAAGCCTAAGAGATGAGCATAGACCACAGAAGAATAAAGGAACTTAGAGATGCTGAAGAAAGACAAGAGATATTCATAAGCCAGTCCTGGAGTTGCTCAGGCTTCACCTGAGGACAAAAAAGTAATTTTGTAATCAGTAAACTGAACCAGCAAGATCGGGAAAGCATGATTTCTCGGGAAGTGCTGATACCCAATTTGATTTCTTTCCAGTTGGATGTATCTGGTAGAGAATCCATGATAGCAAGAGGTCATGGGCACGAGGAGATCACGAGTTTGAGAGGTGAAATGCCCTCATGGGAAGAACTAAGTACCGAGCCCCTTAAATATGCTGAGTTAAAACTGCTTAAACAGAGACTCTAGCCTTTTCTCCTGGAGCAACACACAGACTCTGTCCCTGATGCTGACTCCCTTATGCTAAACTGCGTCCGTTTTCATAAAACCTTGCTTGGTGCCTGCAGGACTAGAATCTACATTATTTCTATTTCTCGGAGAACTCAAGAACCCAGAATGCATAATACCAGGACACCCACATCAAATTCCATTAAATTGTAGAATGGACACACAGAACTCAAGAAATCTGTTTACTCACCAGCTCACCAGTTTATTACAAAGGAATGAACAGCCTGGTGGAAGAAATGCATAGGACAAGGTATGGGGGAGAGGCTGGAGCTACCATCCAGGCTCCACTCACCCCAAATCTCCAAAAGTTCACCAACCTGGAGGCCCTCCAATGCACCTTCCTCTTGGGCTTTTACAGAGGCTTTATTCCATAAGCGTGAATGATCAACTCATTCGCCTTTAGCAACTAAACTCAACCTCTAGCCCTCAGGCCTCCTAGGAAATCAGGGAGAATCCTAGGCTCTATCCCCAAAGATTCTAGTAGGTCAGTAGGTCAAGGGTAGGACCAAAGAATTTGAATTGTAATCTCCTCCCAGGTGATCCTAATACTGCTAAACCAAAGCCCACACTTCAAGTAACAAGTTTTGTTATTATTTTTTTTTAATGAACCAGGCATAAGTAAACTGGGCAAATAATAAATCATTGCACCCAGAGTTTGAAAATGACCTGCTGATTCCTCATGCCCCACCTCTATCAGAGGGTTGAATTTCTTAGACAAAACCCCCAAGTGGTCGACCAGCTCAGTGACTGCTCTTCCAGCAAAGATGAAGCCCAGAAATCTCTACCACAGCAAAGAGGAAGTACTCATTTAGATCAGTCACTGCCTGTGCACTGTGCACGACTCGATGTTAAGTACTGATCAAGATGAGTGCATTTTCTCTGGGAGTCAAGACTCCAGATCATAGCTCTTTCTCATTTCCGTTTTAATATGTGTTGTCATGGATCTCTTAAAGTACACCACTGTTCACGCTGCACATTCTTGAGAGATGACACCCTTGGATAAGATTCACAGAACTCACTAGTTTTTGCTTCTACTTGTTTCCACAGGTGGGCATGCAGCAACAATATGAACTTGGAGTGCATCTGAGGAAAAGATATGGAGTTTTCTTGAATGAGTCCTACAAACGTGAACAGGCAAGTTGGGAAGTGTAGAGTGTGCATGCTGTCCCTTGGAAGATTTTAACATAATGTTACATTTGGAAAAGGGCTTTGCCTGTTTCCTGAGTCAGGAAAGTCAGAGATTGTGTTTACAAATGTACTCCTTTTGGGCCTCCTCTGGTGGCGCAGTGGTTGAGCGCTGGGCTGCAAGGCTGCCTACAGCCTCTGCAGCACCAGCTCGTTCCCTGGCCACTGGCGAAGGTCCCAAAAAAAAAAAAAAAAACAAAAAAAACAAATGTACTCCTTTTGCAATGATTTTGTTTCCCAAAGCTTATGAATATGACTAAATTCAAATTTTATGGACGCCAAGCATAAATATTTTGGCAAGGCAAGTAATCACCATGTAACTAGTCTCTTGTCCATTCAGTGCACGGCAGACCAGGTTATTTGATTTCTTGGCATGCTCGTAATACTGCCTCTCCTATAACATGTTATGATTACGAAGCTTCCATAGCGTCTGCTAATCTTTTCTGGTGGGTGTCTTCCCTTTTCTCAAATATGCTATTAACTCCACAGGAAAAAACCCACAGATCCTCTCAGCTGGATTCTGCTTTGATTTTCCTGCTCTAGGTTTATGTCCGAAGCACAGATGTCGACCGGACTTTGATGAGTGTTATGGCAAACCTTGCAGGCTTATTTCCCCCCAAAGACAGCAGCATCTGGAATCCCCACCTACTCTGGCAGCCCATCCCGGTGCACACAGTGCCACTTGCTGAAGATCGGGTCAGTATTCTCGAAAAAATGGGAGATGCACCAGGCCTGGTAGGAGGGTAGGCTGCTGGCACTTGTAGATTTGGAGGTTCGGACACTGGGCTCTGCAGTTTTGACTCTTTGCTAAATACATGTGTAAAGGACAATGTGGAATTTCTGGGCCAGAGAGAGCAGGCCTGGGATTTCTCTTTGGATCTTTATCGTCCACTTTGTTTCTTCACTCAGCTGCTGGCAGTTTGTCTCCATGTGTCCATACACACACTCTTCCCAGTTTCCTGCCTCTAGTTCATTGGCTTTTGCTGTCCCACACAAGTTTTTCCTCCTTTCAGAATATTCTAAGAGCTTGTTATCTGCAAAATTCCCCTCCCCCTGGAGATCCCCACTCCTAGGTAGAGGAAAAAAATGATTTGAGAGCATTGTTACTACCTAGCACTTTCAATGCATCGCTGTACTGCCCTTTCCAACAACCTTAACTAAACAATATTATCACAGCCAGGGAGTTAAGGGCTCAGAGAAGTCAAATAAGCAAAATGGGCCGAAGCCCCAGAACTGAGGAGCATCACCACTGGGGTCTCTACCAGAGCAGGTCCCTGCCCTATAAACTCGTGGTTCTCAAAATTACCTCCATAGTTGAATCACCTGGTGCAGTTTTTTTAAATAGCTGCCCAAGGTGCCCCCAACACATCAGAATCTCAGAAGATGGGATCCAGGCATCAGTATTTTACAATAAGCCAAAGCAGGGATTCCAGCAGAGAGCCAGTGCCATAAAACAAGCTGCCCAAATACAGGGCCCAGTACAGAGAAAGTCTGAAATTCATTATGCTAGGTGGGACTGACCAAGAACTCTTTACCCTTTTCAGAGGAACTGGTGTTTTTTTTATATAGCAATAAATACTTGTCTCAGGTGTGGAACCTAAGACTACAAGAAGGACCAAGGGTCCTTCCCAGAGCCCCTGCAGTCACATTGTGAGCATCTCATCAGTCTGTGGTTGAGGCTGAGCGTGACCACCGGACCCCAGCTACTGCCCAGTGGCCTCCGGGGTAGACCACTGTCTCTTTGCCTTGCCAGTACTCTAGAACTTTATTTTGTTGGTTTGTTTTTTTTTTTTTAAGATTTATTTTATTTATGCATACAAGAGCTGGAGTATAGGCCAGAGGTGTGGAGGGGGTGAGAGGATTTGCCAGAGACAGAGTGGGGAGCCGAACAGGCAGGTTGACTGAAATACACTGCTGAGGGGAGCAGCCGCGCCATGTGAGCCAGCTCCCTCACTTGGGATTTAACTTATGCCACAGTGGCTGCCAATAGCTTCATAGAGCTGAGACTTAACCCCTTGCACCACCAGGGAGGCCCACTCCTAGAACTTTGACTTAACTTGCAGCTGGCAACTTGAGAAATTTTCCTAAATGCTTTATAGAAACAGTCCAAACCTGTCCACCTCACTCTCCATAAATCTACCCAGCCCATTTTTTTGGTGTTTCCCAAAAAGATAAGATGATATATTTATGTCTTTTTCCTTCATAGAATCAACAGTGTAGTATTTTGGTTGGCAGTGTTCTTAGGAAAGGAGTTTGTGAATATTTTTTTAACCAAAAGAAAAAAAATCACCTCAGCCGCAACCTTTTCTGAGAGCTAGAGAGTGCCAACAAGTTTAGCTGATGGAGACTCAGGAACTGTTTAACGCTTTTTTTTTTTTTTTTTTTTGTGGGACCCTCGCCAGCGGCCGGGGATCGAACCGGCGCTGCAGAGGCTGCGGGCAGCCCTGCAGCCCAGCACTCAACCGATGCACCACCAGGGGAGGCCCCTGTTTAACCCTTAATCTTGAAACATATCATAAAGTTAGGTAATAAAGCGATCAGCTTTGTAAGAAGAGAAAGAGAAGAGGCAGGAGAGAGAGAGAAGCAGGGAGGCAAAATGACCTACCTGTGGCTTGCAGTCACCTGCCACTAAGGTAAAAACAGTTCTAATATCCTCCCCCAACTCTAGCAAAATCAGTTAACACAAAGTCACTCCCGGAGCTGGACTAAGTGCTATAGAGAGAAACGAGAAATAGGAGGTCAAGTCTCTTCCCTAGTTTGTAATCTGTTTGATGAGAGAGGATTTGCGTGTGTGAGTGGGTAGAACAATACAGGGCGATTTCACCTACAAGCAGACAGTACAGGAGGAGTTCAGAGAATGAGACCCCCCAGGGCCAGCCTTCAGGTTCTCACTGAGAGAGGGAACTTGACCCAGACCTCAGAGGACAGGAGGAAAGGAAGCAGCCTGGAAACAGGGCAGAGCGTGACCAAGCAGAGTGCTTTTGTGTCCGAGCGCCATATTCAGAAAGAATGAAAATAAAACCGAAAAGCTGTGTTGGGCACAGATGAGAGAATCCAGATATGATAGAGAAATCTGGAGATTGCAAGTGTGATGTAGAAGAGGGTGGGGTTTGAAGTTGGAAAGCCTAGGGCTGAGAGCCAACTACTGCTTCAGAAACAAACTTCTCTGCACCCCAATTTCCACCTAGCATCCACCTAATTCCTTCCTAGGGATGCATGAAAGCCAGGTTCATTCAGAAATGCTGAAGACTCTGTTACTGCAAAATGCCTAGCAGGTGTTTAGATGATCACTCTGTTTTCAGTCTGACTCAACAGGTGGATTAGAGAGGGCTGACAAAGCCCAAGTCCAGAAAGGGGACATTTGAAAGCCACGCAGGGAAGTTAAGAATAAAGCGGTGGACAGAAACCTGCATATCATATTCATCAGATTTCACACGTGGTAAGGTGTTGCGGCATCTGTCTGAAGATGTCTCCGAAGGAAAAGACAGCCCCAGAGAGTAACTGTTGAAGCTTTTGGAGAATGAGGAAACAAAGGCCTGAAATTAGATGGTGAAAGATGCGAGAGTAAGGAAAGTAAAGCAAGATGCGGTGACACTTGGCCCCTGAAATGGCAGGCAGGAAGCAACTTGGGTTTCTAAATGCTTCCTGTGTGGCTACTAATATGCCAGACCCTATTTTGGGCACCGACAATATAGCAGTGAGCACGATAGACAAGATCCTGGCTGTCCTTGAGTTTCTATTTTCTAGGACATGCATGGAAAAGAAGTGAATACTAAATAAAATCATTTCAGATTGTGATGAGTCCCCTAGAGGAAACAAAGCAAGATGGGATGCTGTGGGGGGAGTGTCCCAGTCAGGGGACAATCTGGCAGAGCCCCCAAGCTTGTACCTTGAGAGGCCAGCGAGGAGGCCCCCGTGCTGCTGGAGAGGTGTGAGCAGGAGGGACAGCAGAGGGAAAACAGGGCTGAGAGGGTCCTTGGGGGCTCACTGTGAGTTTGGACTTTATTCCCAGTAAGCTGGAAACCAGTGCAGGTTTAAAGGACAGAATGCATGGTCTGGTTGATGCTTTCGAAAGATTAGTGTTGTGTAAGAGTAACATAAAAAGGATTGGTGTCGCTGCTGTGCAGAAAGTGAATGGTGAAGGTAGAAAGAGCAGATGCCAAGGATCCACTTAGTGGAAGCACAGGTTATGGTGGCCCAGAGGGGAGGGGACAATGAAGATAAAGAAAAGGGGTCTGTTTGGGATATATTTTGAAAATAAGCAAACCAAAGTCAGAGGTCCATGTTGTGGGATGATAAATATTGCTGTTAACAAAAGGAAAAAGAGAGGACACGGGAAATGATTAAAAGTGAAATTAAGTTCAGTTTCATGTTAAATTTGAGGAAGAAGAGAAACCAGCATGAAGTGATATTCACCAAGGGTCAGAAACTCAGGACTAGCCGCAGATGGAAAAGAGAGCAACAAAAATAAACTTGGCAGTCACTGAGCAGCAGATTATACTTACAACTATAGAAGATTGTCACATTTTTTTAAAGGTCTGCTGCGCCATGTGAGTAGCTCCCTGGCCCAGGGATCGAACTCATGCTGCAGTGGCTGTGGATAGCTTCATAGTGCTGTGTCTTAACTTACCCTTGTAAGTTAAGGGAGGCCCGACTATCACATTTAAACTTGCTTTAAAGTGATTGCTTTGTCCTCATAATAGGTTTTTAAATATATACTTCTATTCAGTGAACAGGTGCTGTTATTTTAACACGCTGAAAATTTGCAAAAATAAAGCAACAAATGGTTAATTGATCTCTTAAGATTCTTTCCAGAACTTCTAACTCATTTCTCTGTACTGGGGGGGGGTGTGTGTAGGGGGGGCAGGGGTTACATGTGCACATATATATCCATGAATACACATGCATATAGCTGCAAATCCATTGCAAGAAGTGAAAGGAGCAGGAGGAACCGTAATCATATTGCATGGAAAGCCAGGAAGTGTGATTGTTGATCAACAGCACAGTCCTACTCAGACGAATACACAAAAGAAAATAAAATGGTATTCACTTCTGGGTACATATCCTACTATTTTAAGACCTACAAACCATCTATCTCTTTCCCCTTCATTTTAGAATTTCCATTTGACTCAAGTCACATTTGAATCTTTTATTCGGGTCACTTTTTACCTCATGAGCCTAAAATATGGCTGCAGCTTCTTTAGCAAAAAAAAAAGTCCTCCTTCTGACTAATCAAGGATTTATGGTTTTTCTTTTGCCCTCAGTTGTTATACCTGCCTTTCAAGCACTGTCCTCGTTTTGAAGAACTTGAGAAAGAGACTCTGACCTCGATGGAATTCCAGGAGAGGCTAGTTCCTTATAAGGTTGAAAAATAGTGTGATTTGGGGATGTGCAGGGATGTGGGAGCTCCAGCCTCCTAAGTGTGTGGAGAGGGGAGGAGGAGTCTGTTGGTTGGTTGTAAATGTTTCAATGAGCATCATTCATCTACCAGGTCCCCTTTCCTATGCTGGGGGCACCAGCCAGAGAGAAGCCAGTCCCTTAGATCTGATACCCAGTTCCCTAGAGGAACCAGCAAGAGTGTGTGGCTGGATTAGCATCAGTACAAGTCTAAAATGACCTGGCCTTATTCACACTGAGCACCTGGGACTATTGTCTTTGCATAAGAAAGATAGTCTTTCTTATTTTATACTTCTACTTTATAAAATTCCCATTTTCAGAAGTCTACAGAGGTAGGCACAATGCCTTGTACTTTTAAAAATAATAATTTGAGGACCTCCCTGGTGGTGCAGGGGTTAAAGACAGTTCTCTCAAGCTATGGCCAGCCACTACAGCAGGAGTTCAATCCCCAGCGGGCCAGAGAACTACCCACATTGCACAGCAGACCTCTCTGCCTTGCCGCCTGCTCCCCTCAGCAGTGTATTTCAGTAGATCTGCTGTTCTGCTCCGAATCCAATTACTCCCTGCACCTCTGGCCTACACCCCAGTTCTTATATGCATAAATAAATGAATCTTTTTAAAAAAAGATTAAAATAATAGTTTGAATCTATAATATCTATTCACATGACCAAAAGTCAAAATATGTGTCCCAAGATGCCCCAAGTAACCAACCCCTTGCGTTATTTTCTTATGTTGTCTTCCAGTTTCTATTTGCATATGCAAATAAATATGAATATATTCTGGTAGTTTTCCCTTTAGTTACACAAGCCAGGTATACTATTCATAGGGTTGGACATCTTGAGTTTTTTCATTAAAAAAAAAAATCTTGGAAATAATTTCTCTATCAGTACATAAAGTTTCCTCATTTTTTATAACTGGTATTTGAATCTATGGATTTATCGTAATTTATTTAACTTATCTGTCTCCATGGAAATGTGGGCCATTGCCAATCTTTTACACTGTCTGTGTGAATAGCTTATATCTAAATCATTTAAGAATCTGTGGAATAATATCCCAGAAGTAGAAATTCTGGGGCAATTGAAATTTTATCAAATTATGTTCAAAAAGATTATTAAACATGCAGACTTTTGGCTGAAATAGAAAAAGTTTTATAAGTTAAGGAACAAACCATCAATCTTATTTTCTTGAGAGTTTTATTAATATTGTTGCTTAGTTTTTTGAAAGGTTGGCATTTTAATAAGGTTGGCATTTTGTCCTTGAATCAGTTAATAACTAAGATTAATTATGTTTATAGATTTACTATTGCTGATCTTTTATTTCTAGAATCAAGCCACTTTCTTTTAACATGATATTGAATTGTTTGCCATTATTTTATGTAGACCTTTTGCATTGTCATTCAAAGTGAATTGGACTATAGTTTTCTTTCCTGACCACTCTTTGTCAGTATCAGTATTATACTTAGTTCTTATAAGAATTTCAGAAGTTCCTTTTTTGATGCCCCAGAAAAGTTAAAACAGCATTAGAAAGATTGGCTCTTGAAAAACTTGGTAGAATTTGCCCATAAAATCATCTGCAGCTGCAGCTCTTGTTTTGTTTTAGAGGGGTGGTCTTCAATAATTATTCTATTTCTTTAATGGAAATCTATTTTTTTTTTCTTTTTTTTAATTTTTTGGGCAGATCTTTATTACATTTCCAGGTATTTCTTGCTTTTTGGCTTGGGACACTGTCTTTGGCACTGGGTACAGTCAGAAGCGTGGGAGGGTGAGAGAATTCACCAGAGCCAGAGCGGGGAGCAGAGCAGGCAGAAGGACCGAAGTACACTGCTGAGGGGAGCAGCGGGCGGCAGGAGAGATCTGCGCGCCATGTGGGACCCTCCTCCGGTGGCCGGGGAGCAGCCGGGGATCGAACCGGCGCCGCAGAGGCCGCGCGCAGCTTCGCAACCCAGCGCTCAACTGCTGCGCCACCGGGGAGGCCCTTTAATGGAAATCTATTAGTGTTACTATTGGCAGTTTATATTTTCCTAGAAAATTTACCCATCAGACAAACAGTATCTTCAAACCATTTCCCAGAAACTGCTGTCATTTTCATCAGGCAGACAGCTGAGTAGCAGATCTGGTCCTTGGTCCAGAACCTGAGGGGCATTTGCATCCAAATGTCACACTATCAGTCACCAAGTCCTCTTTCTATTGCTTTCCTGGGATACCTTAGCTGGAGGCAAGCTTTCCTTGCTCATTTATTTCAATGTGAATTAACCTTCATCTGATCCCAAAAAGAATTGGAGGCAATGCACTTAGGTCTGGCTCCAGGGAAAACCAGGGACTCCTGGCAGTAAGCCAGCCTTTGCCCACATTTTTAATGTAATTATGAGAAATGATCCATTCTTCAGTTTGATATTATCCCTAAATTATGTGGGCTTTTCTATAAACTGGGATTCTTTATGAAGGGCCAGTTTATACCTCAGGGAACTTTGGGCACAAAGTTTGTGGACTGTCACAACCGAGGGACTAGAGATGAAGCTGGTGCTGGTGGGGAGAGGCCAGGAGTACTGCTAACACCCCACAATGCACAAGGCAAGCCCCCCCCCCACACAACAAAGAATGATCCAGCCCAAAATATTGATAATGATGAAGTTGAGAACCCTACTAAAAAATTATTTATTCTTCTGTGTGTGTTTCAGGATTTTATGGAAACCTTGCCCAAACTTTCAGGATATCATGGCCAGGACCTTTTTGGAATTTGGAGTAAAATCTACGACCCTTTGTTTTGTGAGGTAAGAGGGAAAAAAATATCAAAAATTAGCTTGCAGTTGATTTTATAACTGACGCTGCTGGGGGGAAAGTATGTCTTGAACAAACTCAACAAACAGGCTTAATGGACCCCCTCCCACCCCAGACCAAAGAGATCCAACCCACCAAGGGCTATAAATCCCATAATGTCATCACCACCGAAGGGAGGGCAGCTGGGAACTGAGGGTGGAGTTAAGCAGCCAGGTGTGGTGTATAACCAGACATGTGGACTTTGGGGTTCCCTGGTTTTTCACCAGCATTCAGCATGCTGTGAGGGTTCCAGCTCAGCAGAACTGGTAGAACACATTCACCCATTTATCTCTCCTGCTCCCTGAGTTATTCATTTCTTTATTTCCACTTTTTGTGAATAAACCCTATGTTACCCCTTTGTGCATACCTACAGTTGAGTCTCTTTGCAAGTTCCTTTCAAGTGCACGGGTGAGGACCCACAGTCAGGCAACACATTTCCATTGGGGTTGCCCAGTAACAACACCAATTTTGAAACATGAATACATTTTCTTTTGCTTTTTTGCAGCTGTATTACTTATACTTTCTTTGACATTGAAACATCCTTCAAGACTTCATGTTATCTTGAAAATTCCAACTTCTATTACCTAAGTTTTCACCCTTTGGAAAATTGCAAGCAAAAAAAGAAAATGCTTTTCTTTCTGTGTCTTGCTGCTTACTTATTGTTCAGTCACTCAGGAATGCTGGGTTCTTGTCATGGATTTTAATGGAAAAAGTAATGGTATTGTGCAAAAAGAGAAAAGAAAATTGCCTGCTTTCGGGATATATATAGAAATAAGCAAGCCAACTTTAAGCCAGGCTATTGAAATTGGCTTGTCAGGAAAGACTCTCTTCCTTGCTGTGCAATGCATGCGGAATAACCTTGTGGCTAAATTGCTATTGAGTTTTTCAAAGCCACAAACGTGGTTTTCACTCACCACGCTCCACCTTGTGGCTGAAAAGAGCTCGCTGTAGTCCTGTTTTCTCAACCACCTTGCTGAGTCCAGGGGCAACAGCTACGCACACGGGGGCCTCATATGCTCTTTTCTGATTCTGAGATCAGGGGGAATTATGCAATTATGTTCCTAGTTCCTTCCCAGTAACAAATAACAGTTTGCCACCCTAGATGACACAGTAATTCAGCACAAGCTACATTGCCAATATTTCCATTTTATCATTGTATATGTTTCTCAGAAAATCTGTTAGCCTTGTAGGTACTCAGTGGACACAAGAACTCATATTGGGTGTGTCTTGACTTTTTTCTTCCTTCCTTCCTACAGTCATCTCCAAGTTCTTCCATAATGTGGCCAGAGTGCATGGTATCTTTTTAACTCTCCCCTCTACATCACTTGGCTTCAGTCTCCTCTTCATGATCTCCCTCTCTGAATTCTGCCTTTGAAACTGAAAGAATCTTAATTTTCATAGCAGATATTAAAGAGTAGCAGAAGCTCTCTACCTGCCCTGCTGTCTAGCTCTTCATCCATTTAACAAATATTTACCAAGTGCCTGCTATGTACAAGGTACAGATTCTCCCCAAGAGTTAGCAACCTAGAATTTGATAGAAGGTTCAGAAATATATTACCTTTCCCAGTTGTTTTTCAAGCTGTTTATTTGGCTTTTAAGGAAATATCCACACACCTGTCAGCTTTTGCCTTCCCCCAGGGTTAATAGAAAGATTTCACAAAGAAATGAGGTGCCTTCTTGCCACACTGCATCCTTACTCTGAAAATACAGGTCACTCTAGAGTTAAATCACAAGCTATGAACTTGGTAGGAAGTGGCAAATTGGTGTTTCTGAAACTCAATACCCCTCCTTATTACCATGTAAAGTTTTCCTAGAAAGCAATGGCAGGACAAGAAAGATTTGGCTCTAGTCATCCCTCTGAGATCAAAGAGGTTAGGACACTGAGAAATAAACACACAAATACACATTTGCTTTCTTTTTCTTTGCTACAGGGTGTTCACAATTTTACTTTACCCTCCTGGGCCACCAAGGACGCCATGATTAAGTTGAAAGAATTATCAGAATTGTCCCTCCTGTCCCTCTATGGAGTTTACAAGCAGAAAGAGAAATCTAGACTTCAAGGGGGTAAGTATTCCAAGGATGTCTTCAGTGAGCTGGGTCTGTGTCCTGGCCCCATCACTCATCAACTATGTGATCTTGGACAAGTCCTTGAATCATTCCTGCCCCAGTTTCCATTCTGCAAAGTGAAGATGAGAATGACACTCATTTCACAGACAATGAGGATTAAAGTGATTGTGTGTTTTTAAGACTAAGGATAACACTACCTTGTACATAATGCATGGTCAATGAACATTTTGTGATTTTAGAATCATCAATATTATTCACTCTGGGCCTTTGTTTTCCCACCTGGAAAATAAAAGCTTAAGGCAAAGTTGAATATTACTTTTCATCCTTTCCAGATCAAAGTATCAAGGTTTTGCATCTGAGCATCATGAAAATGTGCCTAGTGGCCTATAGGATGAATTTCATAAGTGGGGGGTATCACAGAAGTTAACAGTTTTCCCAAAACCCTGGGTGGTGGCTATTGCTAACATTGATTAAACATCATTTGAAATTCAGTTATCCCCTAAAAACTAATGCATGTGGCAATTGGCAAGTTGATGGCACAAATCAGTTTTCCCATTGATGTTCAAAGACATTCATTTCTCAATGATGCCCCTTCTCAGCTGGGTTTGGCCCTTTGGTATACAGGACACCCTAGACCCAGGCAAGAGGACGCCCAACCCTTGCATCTCAATAGGTGGGTGGAAGAGAGAAATCAGGACCAGGCAGGATGGGGAAGATACCAAAGTCTGCTAGGGCAGGTGGGTGGGCAGATCAGGACTACAGAGCTTGTCGGCTTTGGAGGGGTGAGTGAGGATGTTAAAACTAAGGATGAAGAGCAAAAGGCAGTCCCTTATGTCAGGTTGATGTCACTATGACACATTTCTTTTTATTTTTTAAGATTTATTTATTTATGCATACAAGAGCTGGGGTACAGGCCAGAGGTGTGGAGGTGAGAGGATTCACCAGAAAGAGAGTGGGGAACATTTACAGGCAGAGTGACCAAAATACACTGCTGAGGGGAGCAGCAGGCGAGACAGGAGAGGTCTGCTGCACCACGTGGGTTGCTCCCTGGCTAGGGATAGAACTTGTGCCGCAGCAGCTGAGGATAGCTTCATAGGTTGCATCTTAACCCCCCTGTGCCACCAGGGAGGCCCACTATGACATATTTCTAAGCCACACGAGGGCTTTCAAGTCGGGATTCTAGCTTGAGGAAATCAGTACAATCCCATCGGGACCCAAACGATTGCCAGACCCTATTCATGACAGCATCAGGACAAGTTTCATAGAAACCCAGAAGGCAAAACACCCTGGGGACTGAACTAGGCTTGGAGGATGTTCTCTCAGGGCAGCAGAGTGGAGAAAGAGCTCAAACCCGCAATCGGAAGGGAGTCAGTGATCGTCACAAACGCAGCCAACAGATAGCGGGCGAGCTGTAGCTGCAGAACAAGTGAGGTGTGAAGTCAGAGGGTTGGGAACAAGGCAGAGCATCCAGGGCGAGCCCAGATGGAACCTGTGTCGGGGGGAGCTAGAGCAGGAGACAGGCTGTGTGTAGGGCCAAGCCCTACCTTGCGTGCTACACAGCAGAGGCTGCAGGGTGGACATTGGGCCTCACCAGCTCCAAACCCCTTTAGATGGTGGAGGCGGGGCTCTCCATTTAGTCTCCCAACCTAGTCACATGGGCTCAGGAGTTCAGTCTCTTGTTACTCAAAATACAATCCTGGTGCCAGCAGTGTCCACATCACCCAGCATCTGGCTAGAAAAGAAGGTCAGTTCCCACCTCAGACCAGGGGAATCAGAACCTGCATTTTAGTCAAATCCCAAGATAACTTCATACATATATCTAAGCTTACAAAGCACTTCTCTAAATGCAAGAGCTAGTAAAGAAAAGGATGAGGAGAACCAGGTGGAAGCTGACAATGGTCTAACACTAGACGCGCAGGTCTGTATATAGTAAAATGTGGGGTTTGTTCTAGCAACTTGCTCGTGCTTCCTCCTTATACTTCCTTTGGTTACTAGAGACTGTAGTAAGAGGAAGTCACTTCCCCTTTCTGGGTCTCAGTTTCCCCATCTGATGAGTACACTAAACTAGTTTCTATCCATCAGTATTCCCTAACGTGTCCTCTTGGGTCTTGGATTCAAAGACTGGCACCTGTGTGAACATACCTGTTTTCTGGAGAAGTCCACAGCTATTGATAAGACTGGAGATTATTTCCTGAGTGATTCTTGCCAAATCACAAGCTCAGCCTGTTGTTCAGATCTGGCTAGATAAAGAGATGTGCCAACCACGTGCCTGATGAGTGATGAAGTGTGGAACACAATCCTGCAGAGAAAACACAGTCTAGGAGATCTTCCAGACCTGACCAGCGTCCCTCTGCCCTTTGCCAAAACTTCTGTCTCCTCCATTGCTTTTAGGGGTGACCCTGTTCAGTAATACTCTCTTCTCAGCCACCTGCTACACACACACACACACGCACACGTGAGCATGCACATAAGAAAACCCTGAATGCTATTTTAGAACTATCATCACAGTCAGAAAAATGGTCCCCAGATTAATCCACAGCCTACACTGACATCCAGAGAGCTGTGTCCCCCACGGCCTCCCACAAGGGTGGAGAGAGAGGCGCCTGCTGTCATATCAGGCCACCCTTAGAGAAGGGCATTGACTGACACAGTCTGAGAAAAGCCCTGTGAAGTCATGTCCAAGTTCTGAGCCTCTAACTTGAGCTTTTGGAATCCCATGTGTGAATGCAGCACCCTGGCCTCCCTAGCTCACGGCAGGTATGGACAAAATTAGTTCTTTTCCTCTCTTCTTAATTCTTGAGAATTATGCCAGAAAGACTTGCTCCGTAGGATGAACAAAAAGCTTGTGAACTAAAAATAAGCTCATCTTGGGTTCAGCTCATGACTGATTTGTCCTTCTTTAAGGCGTCCTGGTCAAGGAAATCATCAACCAAATGAAGAGGGCCACTGAGCCAATAAACCGCCGAAAACTTGTTATCTATTCTGCCGTAAGTATCTCTGGCTCCATTCTGCCTCCTTTGTCCAAGTGTGTGAGTACTTTGAGGACAGGAGACGGCCTCTTCTTCATCATCGTTTCCTGATCACCCAGTAGATGGCAGATAAAACTTTAAAAATGAAGTACATTGTTCTGCGCCTCAAGCAGTTTATCATCCAATACTGACAAGAAGCTAGGTAAACAGGAATGCCATACAAAGCAAGGTGGGAAGAATTTAGAGAAGGGAAAATCACTCTGTACCAAACTTAAGCCAGGAGAGAAGAGGACAAGTCAAGTGTGCAGGGTGTGGGGGCAAATTGGAACGTGGGTGTAGAGCAGAGCCGTGGAAGGAACTGTCAGCTGAAGGAGATGTGTCGGGTCTCCATGGATGGAGGAGGTGGGGCCACTAGCACAGGTGGTCTTGGAACAGGCAGGTGACCGTGAGACAATTAGGTTTGACATGCCAAGGGGCATCTGAGCAGGAAACTCCAGACGGGACAGAGGATAGAAGAGGCAAAGGGAGCTACAACTTGAAGGTGGAGCTACATTTGGGAGCAGAAAGAACAGAGCGAGATCTTGGAGAAGACTTCCATCTGGGACAGAAGCAGGGAGAGAGACACAGGTGGGGGAGAAGGCCTGGGCGGATCATGCACTGGGCGGCCATCCGCGGAGGCTGGGGTGTGCAGGGGAGGGGCTGAGCGTGCCAGCTCACATCCCACCCACTTCTCCATGACAGAGGATTTCTCAGATGTGGTTTGTCTGCAGAGAGCCTTGTTTCCAACCCTTAAGGAGATGGGAGAGATAGTTAAAGTTTGCTTTTTATGTGGGATGCTAAGGGGTATAGACTGGAGGAGGGAAGAGAGTATAGTGCTTCCTGGAGGGACATAGGTCTAGAATGAGTTGACTGCCAATTTTTCTAGTTATAATCTAGCTTCTGATTCTGGTAATTCATCAACCTGAAACTCTTCTTTCTCTGGTAAATTGGTTCTAACCTCTTTCTGAATATGTGTACATGATCTTATAGTTTATTTTTTTTTAAGATTTCATTATTGTGTAGAAGAACTGGGGTGTAGGCCGGAGGTGCAAGAGGTGAGAGGATTTACCGGAAACAGAATGGGGAGCAGAACAGGCAGATCCACTGACATACACTACTGAGGTGGGCAGCAGGCAAGAAAGGAGAGGTCTGCTGTGCCATGTGTGTCACCTCCCTGGCCAGGGATCGAACTCAGGCCACAGTGATGCTAGCATGATAGTGCTGAGGCTTAGCCCCTAGGCCAGCAGGGAGGGCCCTGCCTTATAGTTTAGACACACAAATGTAACATTCATCTTGTAGCTATAGAGGTTGGGGACTTTCTAAAAGTAGGTGGCTAACTGGTGGCAAAACTGGCAAAGCCAGTCCTCTGTGTCTTCCAGCCAGTTGGAGATAAAGATCTAACAACCATGTTTAAGTCACACTCTCTACTGCCAAACATTTTGTCCTCTCTATGCCTTTATAGCCTCATCTATTCTCCAAGTTGAAAATCACAGATGACTGTAAACTATAGGAAAAAAAATCTAATTTTAATGTGTTCTAACATTTTAAAATGTAATGAAAATCAAGCTAAAACAGAGAGCTGCTCTACTGGGAAAAGGCAGGGGACAAAATCAGAAGACTTGGCTCAAATTTACCTTCTGCCATTTTGTGGTTATATGACATTAAGTAAATTACTTAATTTCTCTGCGTTTCCGTTTCTTTAGCATTTAAAAGGAAATAATGATATGTTTATAAACCTCACTGCCCCTCACACAGCAGAAACTCAACCAAAATTAGTTCTTCCCCTCTCTGTTTAATTCATTGGGGTATGGGAAATTTAACTGAGTCAGAAGCCTCCTGGTGTTCTACAAATGCTTAGTACACACCTGTTGAATGTAAATCTGAACCCGGGTAAAGATCAAAACCAATTTTGTGTCAAATCCCTGCAGCATGACACTACTGTGAGTGGCCTGCAGATGGCGCTAGAGGTTTACAACGGACTCATCCCTCCCTATGCTTCCTGCCACATAATGGAGTTGTATCTTCACAAGGGGTAAGTGTCTAAGAGGTACTTTTCAAAATTAGGATCAGTAGATGGAGATCGTAGATTTTATTATTGTCATTGTTGACTTAAGGGTTGTTGTGTCTACCTACCTGGCTGGTTTTATATTCTGGGCAAGGTGGTAGCATGTAATAATACCTTTGCCAGTTTTTCCTTTGTTTTCTTTTTAAATATTTATTTATTCATGCATACAAGAGCTGGGGTACAGGCCAGAGGTGTGGGGGTCAGAGGATTCACCAGAGACAGAGTGGGGAACAGAACAGGCAGATTGACTGAAATACACTGCTGAGGGGAGCAGTGGGCAAGACAGGAGAGGTCTGCTGCGCCATGTGGGTACTCCCTGGCCAACCGGGGATTGAATTCGTGCTGCAGAGGCTGAAGACAGCTACACAGTGCTATGCTTAACCCCTTGCGCCATCAGGGAGGCCCTGTTTTCATAAGACTTTTACTGGGAAGAGTACTTAGACATTAGATGCAAATTTGAAAACCTCCCTGCATGACAGAAATTACATTTTAAAAAATGAAGGTGTTTAAGAAGTATGCAGACATCATCCTGTTCTCTTAAAACAAAAACTAACAGAAGACGCCGTGGGAAAAATTAAGTTTTGTTAATGGTTATAAAATAATGTTCTTTTAGTTAAAGAGTTCAGACAGATCCATGCAGCTTCTGGTGATTCCTACCTAGCAGTTCAGGGATTTTAAGCACAACTTCTGAGCAGGGTTGACTCTGTGGCCTGGCGTGGTCCTTCCCAGCTGACCAAGGTTCAGCTTGAATGCTCTAGAAAGACAGCAGTGAGAGTGACCCAATGTCCTCATTAGTCTATAACATCAGGGGTTGCTAGGCCTGGGCAGACCTGGCCACCATAGCCGAGGTCATAGCAGAAATGCGTACCTGTTGTGACATGGTATTCTCACCGGGAGGAGGAGAAGGATTTATTTCTGGTGAACCACCTTGCAGTTTTAATTGATGAAATAAGAGCCAGGAAGGAGCCAAGTTAGGGCCATGGCCCCAGAATCTTATTTCTGGGTTAATTGGGGAGGTTCCTTTTGCCCTCTTCTCAAGGGGTCACAACAGCCCAGGCTGAGCCCACTTACCTCTGCAGTCCCCAGGACCCTGTGCCAGAACAGCCCATGTTTGGTTTAATGTTCTGCTGTCAACATCTTGAAATGCATAATGATTTTTATTTTTTTTAAGATTTATTTATTTATGCATACAAGAACGGGGGTGTAGGCCAGAGGTGTGGGGTGTGAGAGGATGCACCAGAGACAGAGTGGGGAACAGAACAGGCAGACTGACTGAAATACACTGCTGAGGAGAGCAGCGGGCGAGACAGGAGAGGTCTGCTGCACCATGTGGGTAGCTCCCTGGCCGGCCAGGGATCAAACTCGTGCTGCAGAGGCTGTGGATTGCTTCATAGTCTGGTGTTTAACCCCTTGCGCCACCAGGGAGGCCCAAAATGCATCATAATTTTTAAACATGAGTCCCTGTATTTGTTTTTGAAAATTTTATATCCCTGGCTGTATATTTCTGGCCCTTTGAGCATGCAGAGCGGGAAAACAGCAGCACAGAGGCCTCATTCTAACCAGCGCTGTCAACATTTACAGAGAAAGTGAGTCTTGGGAGTTAGGCAAGGGTGGGGTCGTATTTATTGACCCTCTGACCCTGCGCCAGGCATGGTGGGGTGGAACTAAAATGAGGTCATAGCGAGCCTTGCTCTCGAAAGTCTAGAGTCAGAGCAGAGAAACCATAGCCACAGCGTGGAGAGTGGTCTGGCAGAACAGAAAAGCGAAGGCGAGATAATAGACATGTAGTGCTCTCTGCATCACAATTATGTCTGCTTCTTGGAAAGCTGCTCCGGCCCGGAGGTAATGATCCAGCCAAAATTCCAGGATCAGCTCCAGGAGCAAACACTGTCTCTTTGGGGACAGGATAAAGAGGCTTCCCCCTTCACTGGCACCTCCCGCCTCTCTGAGGTCTCTGATCTTGAGTCGGCTTCATTTAGGATGATGCAGCATTTGTCCCACAGCCTCCCTTTCCCCACCCCCTTGAGTAAAACCATGTGATGAATCCAGAGGGGGGATTTTCAACGGAGAGATGTAAACAGACAAAAAACAAAGAAAGTAACCAAAAGTCACTCATAGGTAGGATATTGGAATTTTTTTAACAGTCCAGAGAAATATCAAAAGTTTAAGTTCCATTGCTTTCATTATCTTTTTCTTTTAAGTTCTTTGTTTTCAATTACAGACAAGTATACATAGCATAAAAATTTTTTTTTAAACTGTTGCTACTTGACAGCAATAACTTTTTTTTTTTTTAAAGATTTATTTATTTATTTATTTATACAAGCACTGGGTACAGTCAGAAGCGCGGGAGGGTGAGAGGATTCACCAGAGCCAGAGCAGGGAGTAGAGCAGGCAGACTGACCAAGTACACTGCTGAGGGGAGCAGCGGGTGGCAGGAGAGGTCTGCGCGCCATGTGGGACCCTCGCCTAGCAGCCGGGGATCGAACTGGAGCTGCAGAGGCTGAGGGCAGCTTCGCAACCCAGCGCTCAACTGCTGCGCCACCGGGGAGGCCCCTTTATTTATGTCTTTGTGGGGTTATATTTAATATCCTAAAATGATCACACTTATTTGAATGTATGCCAGCTTAACTACCGTCTTTCAGTTACTGATGTCACAGACATCTTTTTCAACTTACTTGCTTTTAAATTAGGAACAAGGGGTATTTAAATTAACAAATACTGTAGATGTCTGCGTATTAGATGACCACGAGTAAGATGATCACACTCTCCCCTGGAAGAAAAGAAAGAGAGCATAGAAATAGAGGAGTTTTAGATTTATTTTTATTTATTTATGCATGCAAGAACTGGGGTGTAGGCCAGAGATGGGGGTGGTGAGAGGATTCACCAGAGACAAAGTGGGGAGCAGAACAGGCAGACTGACTGAAATACACTGCTGTGTATTTCAAAGTGGGGAGCAGCGGGCAAGGCAGGAGAGGTCTGCTGTGCCATGTGGGTCAGATCCCTGGCCGGGCATCGAACTTATGCTGCAGTGGCTGGCAATAGCTTGATAGTGCTGAGACTTAACCCCTTGCAGCACCAGGGAGGCCCAAGTTTTAGATTTTTGCCACCTAAAGTACATAAACCTTTAATGTTGTAGATAAGATCAATGAAAACATTCTTAATGTATTTAATTTTTAGTTAAGTACAAATGTTTAAAATAATATGCTAGGGGCCTCCCTGGTGGCGCAGCGGTTGAGCGCTGGGTTGCGAAGCTGCCTGCGGCCTCTGCAGCGCCGGTTCAATCCCCGGCTGCTCCCCGGCCACCAGAGGAGGGTCCCACATGGCGCGCAGACCCCTTCTGCCACCCGCTGCTCCCCTCAGCAGTGTCCTTCGGTCCTTCTGCCTGCTCTGCTCCCCACTCTGGCTCTGGTGAATTCTCTCACCCTCCCGCGCTTCTGACTGTACCCAGTGCTTGTATAAACAAAAACAAACAAATAAATAATAAATAATTTAAAAAAAAAGGAAATTCCACCCTCCTGTTCTGTCCATCCTGCTCCAGTCTCCTCATGCCCATAAGTGAATTGGCTAATGTTTACTCATTCATAAATTCTTCCATGGGTCCTTCAACGGACATGTTACAGGCGAGTGGAAAAATTCAGGGACAACCTGACAAACACAGAACTAACAGAGCTCTCTCCTCTGCTCTCCTCTCCTCCTCTCTCCAGGAGCTACTCAGTGGAGATGTACTATCTGAATGAGACACGGCACGAGCCATATCCCCTCACACTGCCGGGCTGCACCCACAGCTGTCCTCTGACCAAGTTCGCTGATCTTGTTGCCTCTGTGATCCCACAAGACTGGTCCACAGAGTGTATGCCCAGCAACAAGCACCAAGGTACTCGGAAGGCTATGCATTAGCATGCAGGCAGAGTTCTGCAGAAAGAGCAGGATGCTCTCAGAGCAGAGGGTGCTGTCCTAGTAAAACATGGCCGTGTCCTCTGGCTTTGAGAAAATTGGGTTTTGGGTGATAATTGTATGTTTCAGGGACCCCCAACTTCAGGTAACTCCTACCTCTCGTGTGGCCCTGCCTCTACTTGCTGTATACCTTGACTTGGTTTCTTCATTGCTAAGATACACTCAGAGCTCAGACTTAAGTTGATAGCGATGCTACTCAGGACCTTTTGTTGTTCAAGGATGCTCAGATTTTGTGTGAGCAGGGTTGGGTGAGGTGATTCTTCAAGTGTCCGAACTGAAAGAGATTTCAAACAAAATACAGAACTGAGAGTGAGAGCAAGGAAGAGAAGACTTTAACCCTAGGCTAGTGGGCCAAGGACAACTTATTTGTTCCCACCTTCTCACAAGGGAAGGCAAAGAAACTAGCTACTTTGGAGCAAACTAGAGAAACCATCTACCCTGGGAAGCTGAGCAAAATGCTCATCACACTGAATATCAGGGAAACACAAATCAAAACTACAATGAAATACCACTGCCACTGTGAGAATGTCCACAGCCATAAAGGAACTCTCATACCCTCTCTTTGTATCCTAATGGTACCACATATTGACTGGCAGAGCTGGGGGAAAAAAAAATACCCCTTTGTACTCTTTGGTCCTGGAAAATTCATGTGATTTATGAAGAAACAAAAATCAAACTTGCCAAAACACTGTCTATGATACATAACAGCTCTTGGAGCACATGCCTGTTAGCAATAAGTAATTTGATGAGAGCAAGAGATTCAGGCATGACATGGCAGAGCTGAGAGCCCCATGTGGGCTTTCTCTTGAAGTTAATGGCTAGAGACGTTGGATTTGAAATTGACTTGAGAGGGGAAGAGCACAGCAATACTCATCAAGCAGGAACAACATAAGAAAGATGGGATGATTCTGAATGCCTCCGAGAGGTGTTGGATTATTGCAAGTGTAGCTATATTATCTGTTCTGAAGACAGAGGAATCTGGGAGGCTTTGATGCTGTTCTTTTTAGAAACCTTAAGCAAGCTCATAGATCCTGTTGAAACTACCCTCTGTATGAGAAGAAATTATGTTCCAATGGCTCTCTTTTGAGTCTTGTCAATATAACACGTCTAGAAACAGTGTGCGGAGTTGCCATTGTGGATAAAGATGAAATGGTTCCCGGAGGTGATTTCTGCTGGATGGCAGAATCTAGAGCACAGCACTGGGAAAATTGACACATCGACTGATGTGTTTATTTGTATCATTTTTTGTAAGTAAATATTTGGCCTTGGATCCATCATCTAATAATTCTTTTTTCTTCCATGCATGGAATTTTCCTCCAGCAGTGATCCAAATGTAAAATATTGAATAATGTCACCACTAGGAAATTCAAAAACATTACCTCTATAATGAATTTTGAAACGTGTGTGTTTAATTAGAATAATATTCCTAGAGGACAGGTTTTAGAGCCTCTATTTTGCTATACTTTTTTTTTTTTTTAAGTAACAAGAGGGAAAATATAAATATAAAGTAAAATGACTTGACTGGTTTAAATAAATATTTTACATTGTAAGTGTTTTTAGTTTGTGGAGATAGCCACATGCAAAAGAGTGAAACTGGACCACTCTCTGACACCGTGCATAAACATTAATTCAAGATGGATTAAAGACTTGGATGCAAGACCTAAAACCATAGAAGAAAACAGGCAAAATACTCCTCAACATTGGCTTCAGTGATGTTTTTAGGGACTTGACTACAATGGCCAGGAAAACAAAAGTAAAAATAAGTAAATGGAATGACATTAAATGAAAAAGCTTCTGCACAATGAAAGCAATTACCATTAAAATAACAAGACACCTTACTGAATAGGAGAAAATATTTGCAAATCATACAAAACAAGGGACTAATAGCCAAGGTCTACAGAGAACTCATATGGTTTAATAAGAAGGCAAATAATCCAATCCAAAAAAAATGGGCATAAAATCTAAATAGATTCTAAAAAAGACAAACAGAAGGCCAACCAGCACAAGAAAAATGTTCATCCCCGCTTAGCACCTGAGAAATACAAATCAAAACCACAATGAGGCACCACCTCAAGCCTGTGAGAATGGCCCATATCAAAAAGACCAAAAACAAAAAGCGATGGTGAGAGTGTGGGGAAAAAAAGAACTCTCATACACCCTTGGAGGGAATGTGGACGGTCGCACCCCAATGGGAAACAGTATGGGTGCTTCTCAAAATATTAAAAATAGATCTTCCATGTGATCCAGAGATTCCGCTCTTAGGCACTAGCTGAAGATTATAAAAGTACTAATCTGAAGGATATTTGCACTCCTATGTCCATTGTAGCACTGCTTACAACAGCTAACTCTGGAAACAGCCGAAGTGCCCAGTGACAGATAAACAGAAAATGAAGATGTGGTGTATATACCCAGGGGTTTGCTGCTCAGCTATCAAAAAAGAAAGATGAAATCTTGCCATTCTCAACAAATATGGGTGGAACTGAAGTGGATTATAGTAAACTAAAGAAGTCAGAAGGAGAAAGACAAATATCAGATGGTTTCACTCAAATGTGAAATAGAAAGACACAAAACAAAGGAAAGAACAAAACTATGCTGAAACAAACCCTCCCTCGAAAGCTGCCTGCAGAATTGAGGCCACCAGAGGGAGAGTGTGGGGGATGGGGAGCAAAGGGGGAGGTGATCCAGGGGACTATGGTGGAGGATTAGGGTGCTTTTGTGGGTATGTTGTGGTGACATATATCTGAAGATATGCCCTTACATCATATACAGTGTTGTAAATCAATGTAACCTCAATAAAAATAATGCAATTTTTTTAAAAAGTGAGAAAGGAAAAATGTATTTAGTTTGGATTTTACTACTTTAGATTGAGACTAATTTGATGGATGACTGTTTCATCTGCTTAAGGCAGTACTTAGTCAGAAAATGCCCTTGGGAAATTTAGTCAGAAAATGCCCTTGGGAAATTTACAATGTAGTGAGGAAGCAAAGAGATAAGAGATCAATATTGTACGGAATAACAAGAATTATGTCCTATGACTATAAGGGTTGCTATAAGAACAAGAGTTAACCTAGATTTAGAGGGAAGGAGGCAGTCAGGAATATCAGGGAAGGCTTCCTGCAGGAGGTGGCAACTACACCATTTCGAAGCCATTTGGATTGCGGTTTCTTGTAGTGTGGTACAATGTACTAGAAAGGCATTTGTCAGATGTCCTAGTGGCTTGAAGCTGGAAAGGATAGGATAGAGTAGTTACTCAGCAGAAATTCAGAATCCAAAGATATTCCTACAGATTTTACTTATGGAGCCAGTTCTTTTTTTTTTTTTTTTTAATTTATTTATTTATGCATATGAAAGCTGGGGTACAGGCCAGAGGCATGGGAGGGTGAGAGGATTCACCAGAGACGGAGTGGGGAACAGAACAGGCAGATTTACTGAAATACACTGCTGAGGGGAGCAGCGGGTGGGTCAGGAGAGATCTGCTGCCCCATGTGGGTAGTTCCTTGGCCAGGGATTGAACTTGTGCTGTAGAGGCTGCAGACAGCTTCATATGTTGTGTCTTAACCCCTTGCACCACCAGGGAGGCCCCTTACAGAGCCAGTTCTAATAAAAGAAAATGTCATCTCCATAAAAGGAAGGATTTGACCCATTGTGTTCCCTGTTATATCTGTCCTCCTCATTGAAATACACTTGTGTCTGGCATGAATTGGTTCTCAGTAATTGTTCAATGAATGTATAGTTACATTTTTCTCCCTGCACCTACTCTTTTCTATCTTGATTAGCAGCAATATCCAGTAACATGGGAACCATTTCTCATCCCACCTACTCCTTCATCCTCCACAGCCAGTGTGTCACCTCCTCTTATCAAATCTACCTGTAGTGTGTTTATAGAAATCTTGTTCACACAATATCAGTATCAACAATTCATCATCCATATACAGCACATATATATTTAAGCAGCAAAATGTTAATAAAAAGAAAACATAGGAATTGGTGTCCCAGAGTAGAATGTGTGTGTTGCTTCCCAATTCTGAGTTCAGTGACTTCCCTTTGGTAGCTTGCAATTAATCATGGTATCCTGGTGGGAATATTTTTACCTCAGAAATCAGCATATGCTACCAACCAAGAGGTTTGACTTTTTGTTTTCTAGATCCACTGTACTGACAAATCAATGTTTTTCACTCCTAGAAAGTTTGTTAAGGGTCCCCAAGAAAGTGAATTCAAGACTTGAACTTTAAAGAAAAAAGGATTAGATTTGACATGTATGCTATGAAGGAATGATGCTAAGGGCAGCAGATAAACAGTTTAAGAAAAGAGACTGTGTTCTGAGAAATTTCTGGGACAAGAAGTGACTGCTGGGATGGAAGATCGCTCACCTTGGCAGGGACACCATAGAGCTGCGTGAAGCTGGGAAGGTGGTAGGGCTGAATGACTCCTTTGTGGGGCTACCAAGTTTAATGAATTAGAGTATAGGATGCCCAAATAAATGTGATAAATAGCTCTAACTAGTGCAGTTTTGTAATTTGTTGAAAAATAGCTGAATTCAAGACATTTAGAGGGTCATGAGGAAGCCAATACAGGAAGCAGGACAAAACCACAAGTACAGGACATGTCATATATACCAAGCAACATTACTCCTTAGGGTATTGCTACCCCCAGAGTCCTACCCACCCCTATAAGCAATGTTAGCAGCTAGTGCTAGTACACACAATTAATTTAATTCTCATATCAATTAAATATAACAGAACCTTTGCTGGAAAATTCATTATAAGACTAAGGTCTATACCATGTTAACTTGAAAAGAATTCAAGTTATATTCAAGTTGTATTCAAGAATACAATTCTACTTTTTTTTTTTTTTAAGATTTATTTATTTATGCATACAAGAGCTGGGGTACTGGCCAGAGGTGTGGGGGGTAAGAGGATT